AAGCAACAGTTAGATCTCAACATGGAAATAACTGATTGGTTTAAGACTGGAAAGGGAGTACAACAAGGCTGTATATTGTCACCTTATTTAATTAACATGTGGATAGTACATCATGTGAAATGTCAGGCTGGATAAATCAAAAGCCAGAATTAAGGTTGTTGAGAGAAATATCAACGATTTGAGATGTGCAGATTATACTATTCTGATGGCAGAAAGTGAAGAGGATGGGGGCAGCTAGGTGGCGCAGTGGATAGAGCACCAGCCCTGAAGTCAGGAGAACCTGAGTTCAAATCTGACCTCAGACCAAACACTTGACATTTACTAGATATGTGACCCTGGGCAAGTCACTTAGCCCCAATTGCCTAAAAAAAAAAAAAATAAATAAATTAAAAAATAAATTAAAAAAAAAGTGAAGAGGAATTAAGAAGCTTTTGATGAGGGTGAATGAAAAGAGTATAAAAGGTGGCTGTTAGCTTACTATCAAAAAAGCTAAGATCTTGGCAATTTGTCCCATTACTTTGTGGCAAATGGAGTAAGAAATGGAAGTAGTGTCAGATTTCATATTCTTGGGTTCAAAGATCACTGCAGGCAGCAATTGCAGGCATGAAGTTAAAAGACAATTGCTCCTTAGAAGGAAAGCTATGGAAAATCTGGACAGCATACTAAAAAGCAGAGACATCACGCTGCTGACAAATTTCCATGCAGTCAAAGCTGTGGGTTTTCCAGTAGCAATGTATGGCTGTGAGAGTTGCACTGTAAGGAAAGCTGAACACTGTAGATTCAATGATTTCAAATTGTGGTGCTGGAGAAAACTTTTGAGAGACCCCTGGATAGTAAGGGGATAAAATCAGTCAAACCTTAAAGAAATTAATTCAAACTATTTATTGGAAGGTCAAATACTGAAGCTTAAGTTTAAATACTATGGCCACATAATGAGAAGATGGGACTTATTGCAAAAGACCCTGATGTTGGGAAAGATTGAATTCAAAAGGAAAAGGGGATGGTGGAGGATGAGATGGTTAGATAGCATCACTGGAACAACAAACATGAACTTGGATAGACTCAAGAGATAACGTAGGATAGGCAGACTTGCTATGGTCTGCAGGGTCATGAAGAGTCAACAAGACAGAATAACTAAACAACAACAAATCTAACATGAGTAGATCAGGTTGTTATGACAAAATAAATACTAGGAAGGAAAGTATATGTAAAAAATACATAAATCTAAAAGCAAGATGGCATAATGGAAAGACAGCCGGACTCAGAGCTCAAGGAGGCCTGGGTTAAAGTCTCTCTTCTGACACATACTAGCTAGGCCACCTTGGGCCAATCTCTTAATTTCTAAAGGTTCCAGGAAGCCCTCTAAAATTGTAAGTTTCAGACTAATGCTGATCTGCTTTGGTAAATGTAGTATCCTCACTGGGATAAAAATGTAAGATTAAAAATCACAGGCCTACACCAAAAAAAAAAAAAATTAAAAATATATAATAAAATAATCTCCCCAAGATTTAACCAGGGAGATAAAGAAGAAAAAAATGCAGATTATCAGTCCCTGCATTGGTTCCATTGATCTTAATAAAGATTTGTTTTATAATCCTTGATCTTTGAAAAGAACATGTTTATTTCCCTTGCCATCTAAAAATAATCTATTTAGGTCCTAAGCCCTTGGTTCAAGAAAGGTAAGGATTTTCTATGTTTATCAGTTAACTCAAGTCGAGTTGTGATTGGCCTCTTCTCACATCCTAAATAAGCTTGAGTGTTCATATGTTCCTCAATTTTGATTCCAAAGAAAGCAGAGGACAACAAAACTGGTTTGTATTTTTTTTAAAGCTATAGTCGGGAAGAGGTACCAAAAAGCAATCTGATCACTCTTTGGTGTACGTGGGAGGACAATAATTGTCAAGAGAGAAGACAGAGCTAGTCCCTTGCCTGGTCTTGTTTTTCTTCTCTCCAAAGAAAACTGCCCATTGCTTTGGAAATGAAAGAAATGGGGGGAAAATGACAAACAGGGATTTGATATTCAAAATAAGTAACAACAGTAAAGGAACGTCTCATTTTTCTTGAAAAATTCAAGTTACCCAGACTGGATGGTCTACATGTGGGCACCAAAAGAAATGCAAGGTGTGCCTGCTGAGACACTTTCTATGATATGTGAAAGATCATAGGAAATGAGAGTCAGGCAAATTTTGTCCTGATTTTCAACGCTCGTGTCCGACCACGGTACTCCCTTGTTCCCCCGACTGTTGCCTCTTGCTGATGAGATAAAAGACAAACTCCTCTGTTTGGGTTTAAAACTCTACACAATTTGGCTCCTGCCAAATTTCTAGAATGATTAACACATGTTAATTTCCTCCACACATGTTGAGCTGAAGCCAAACTGGTTCTCCATATATGACATTCCATCTTCCATCCCTGTGTCTTTGCAGAGACACAGGAGGAAATACATCCTCATTTTTTACCTAATATCTTGGGCAGCTAAATGGTACAATAAATAGTGTTTGATTTAGGGTCCAAAACTCCTGGCTTTGAATCTTGCCTCAGATACTTCCCACTTGTATGACCTTGGACAAGTCACCTCTGTCTACCTAAATTTCATCATCTGTAAAATGGGGGTAATAATAGTATCTACCTCCTAGGGCTATTGTGAGGATCAAATGGCACAATATATATAAAATTCATTTTGTCAGCTTTATAGTGCTTGAAAGTGCTATACAAGTGCTAGCTAGTATTTCAAAGCTAAGCTCAAGCACAAATTCCTACAGAAAACCCATTCTGATGAAACCAAGCACCTGTGTGCCCTCCTGCAATTATATTTATTTACTTTGCATAGACTTTCTATTCATTTATTTTTGTACATGTTCTTTCTTCCCAATAGAATGAAAACTCCCTGAAATCAGAGACTTTTCCATTTATATCTTTCTAACCCCAGTATCTAGGACAAATCCTAGATGAATGAATGAATGAATGAATGAAAAGATTACTTTGGGGCCATCTACCCAACACCAGGAGCAAGAGATTATCACAGATTAAGATATTCAAGGAGAAAGTCATCCTTCTAGCCTGCTCTGTTTTATTTAAAGGTCAGAGGAGACCTAGGAAATGGCCATCGGAATTGGAATGGCAGAGAGGAGAGAGACTCAAAGTTTGACGGAAGAGGTGGGTATCAAGATGTGGGTAGAGAAACTGGAAGACTTCCAAAATATGGAGGTGGGGGGAGGATAAGGGAGAACACTGGATAATATCTTGAAGTATGGCCAGTTTGCTCATAATTTTCTGAATAAACAGATAGGTTGAACAATAATTAAAAGCATATTGACAGTGCCAGGCAATATGCTAAGAAAACCAGTGATATGCACAGAATATAGAGTATTTTTAAATATTTGATAAGATCACAGAGATGGGAACAGGGAAAGTCACTACAACTGTAATTTCATTGATATAAGAAACTCCCAGACAGGGTAACTGACTACCAATATAGGTTAGCACCTTCTCGTCACCTTATAATTTTAAAGAGTTCTGTAGATCACTTAGAGGGTAACTTACCCAGGGCTTCACAACCAGTATACACACATACATACATATGTATACACATGTGTATAGATGTATATATGTGCATGCATGTGTGCATGCACATACGGATGCATGTGCATGTATATATGTATACGTGTGTGCATGTATATGTGTATAAGTGTATTATATCGATGTGTATGTGTACATACGTGTAATACATATATACATATATGTGCCCATGCATGCATACATATATATGTACACACATACGTATGTCAGAGGCAAGACTTGAACTCATCTTTGTGACCCTAAGGCATGTACTTTATAGACTATGCCATGCTCCTCTCAGATAAATGGATCCTGATCACATAAACATTATGCACATAGAGGAAACTTTTACTGCTACCAAAGGCCCAGTGGTTATTTAGATATGTTTTTATATTACTTTGTATCTTTTATAAGACCAACCATAGAAGATATAGTTCATTCACAATATTTGTTGTCTTGGATGTTGTTTGTAATAGCTATAACACTCAAAATGTAAAAGGGAAATTTCTTTTCACTTGTGTATTTGAATTGAACGCTCATACTTGAGATAAACTGCTTTCTGACAGACAGGCAATAACACTGACTTTACAGCGTAAGAACTAGAATATTTTATATTTATTCTGTATGTAACTTGTTTGTACATATTTGTATATAGTCTACTTGAGTAAATTGGGAGCTCCTTGAGGGAAGGGGTTGTTTTTGCCTTTCTTTGTATCATCATGGCTTAGCACAGTGCCTGCCACATAACAGGCAATTAACAAATACTTGTTGTCTTGACATAGGAAATGAAACTTCGGCCCCTCTTATGTGAGGTCAAAAAGCATCTTTAAACAGTGAAAACATGATGTGATACTGATGAAATGTCCAATTTCTTAAAAAGAACTCCACTTTCAATCTGCTCTTTTGTTTGTTTTTTGTTTTCTATAGAGCTATAGAATATTAGACCTGGACGGATATTGGTAAGCATTTAATGCAACTCAAAAAGATATCACTTAACTAGTAAACAGTGGAAGGCAACCCAGAGCTCAAGTCTCCTGATACCATTTCAGTATTCTTGCCACTGATTATATTTTGAAACCATGTGTATATAATGTGTTTGTCTGGTACTCAAATGAGGCAGCTACTGACACAGGGCATAGAATGCTGTGGCTGGAGTTAGGAAGATCTGAATTCAAATCTGGCCTCAGACACTCCTACCAGTTGTGAAACCCTCTACCTCAATTTCTTCAACTCTATCACGGAAATAATGAAAACTCCTATTTCACAGGGTTGTTGTGAAGATCAAATGAGATAACATTTGTAGCACAGTGATAGGCACTATATAAATGCTTATTCCCTTTCCTTCCCCTTGTCTATGTGGATCTCTGCCTAGCAAAGCATCAAAGGGTGAAGGAAACCAATTCAGATATAAAATAAAATCATTCTGTGCACTTCATGCTTACTCTTGTGTTGTTTCTCTCAGCCTTAAGTTCGGAAATTTCTTCTTCTTTTTCTAGCAGTTGTTCCCGGCATGCATTTAATTCTTTTGTCAGAGCAGCAAATTCCTAAAAATGAAATAAAAAGAGTTATAGAGATATTTAAAATTTTTCGAATGGTGTTATTATACTAGCACTTTAAAAGACATGAAAATTCCAAATACACAAGAAAATTGGTGTAAAATATTAGATCTTCAAGTTTTAAGATATAAATCTTCAAATAAAAACATAGAATATACAACTACTAGCTTAGCAGGCTAATAAATATTGCTTTCACCATAGCTTGCTTACTCTGAATAAACTGATATTCAGAGTGATAGTACTTTCCTTCCAAATATTCTTCTTTGATTACCAACAAGCAAATGCCTAATTAGTATGGATATATGTCACGTGTCTTCCCAAATCTAGCTTGTAAAAATCCTGGGTGCAATCTCTAATCAGTATATATCTGTATGTTTATTGGGGTACAGCTTTTGTTTGTTGCTGTTCTGTCATTTTTCAGTCTAGTCTGACTCTTTGTGACTCTGTTTGGGATTTTCTTGGCAAAGATACTAGATTGGTTTCCTATTTCTATCTCCTTCTCTAGCTCATTTTACAGGTGAGAAAACTAAGGCAAACAAGGTTAAGTTATTTGACCAGGGTCACACAGCTAGAAAGAGTCTGAGGCCATATTTGAATTCAGCAAGATGAAATCTTCCTGAGTCCAGGCTCAACATTCTATCCACTGCACCACCTAGCTGCTTGCTGCTTTTTTTAGACATTGTCCAATACTGAGATGTATATGGTATATTCGAGTTTTCGTATTTTCTAATTTTACTCCTAATTTAATACTTTACTGAAAATGGGTATGCATTATCCACTAGATTAAGCATCTTGAGGGCAGGGACTCTCTTGCTTTTGTATTTGCAAAACTAATGCTGAAGCCAAAACTAAACACTGAAATCCTTGCTGACTGGTGGCTCAGTTAAATGGGTGGTTTAGGTCATGGGCCCTTATGGCTTCTAGAGGCAGCGCTGGCAACATAACAAGTAAAGAATGATAACTGCACATAATAATTACCCATAATTCTTGGCATTTTGTGAGAATATTATACCTAATTCTGAAGTCAGAAGGATGTGGAGAAATTGGAAAAATATAGAGAAAAAAACAGTGTAATTTTTGAAGATATGGGGAGTAGTCATTATATACCTACAATTATGTAACCAGAGAGAGAAGCAACAGAGAAAAGCAGATAGGATTCCTGAACCTGGAATTATGGGATCAATAGATTTTAGAATCCTCAGTCGATGAATATTTCTTAATCACTTACTAAATGCCAGGCACCATGCTAAGCTATAATTCTAATTAGAAAGGATGTGAACTCATAGACAGATTTCTTTTTACAAACAAAATGAGCCGCTTATAGATTAAGTCACTGCCCAAAGTCACACAGATTGTTAAGCACCACAGCCAGGATTTGAACTTCGAACCTCTGATTTGGGTCATACTGACAGAGGGTAGAGTACTGGGCCTGGAATCAGAAAGACGACTTCAAATCCAGCCTCAGACACTTGCTAGCTGTGTGACCCTGGGCAATTCACTTAACTGTTTGCCTCCCTTTCCTCATTTGTAAAATTAGCCAGAGAAGGAAATGGCAAAACCACTCTGGTATCTCTGACGAGAAAACCCCAAACTGGGTCACTAAGAGTTGGACGTGACTTAACAACAATCAAAAAAACAAAACAAAACAAAACAAAACCCAACAAAACCTTGCAAGGTTGTACTATCAAATAAGATAAAAGCTATAAAATATGTCTGGCACGTAGTAGGTTCTATATAAATGCTTATTCCTTTTCTTTCTTCCCCTCCATCTACTACAGCATACTACCTCTCATAGTGTTATAAAAATAAAATTAGATCTCTAACTTCATCAGCATTGGGAGCTCCCAGTAAGGAACTCCATTGGCCAAGATAGAGGGGAAACCTCTCTGTAACTCAGTCTTCAAATTTCTTGCCCCACTGTGGGTGGGTGTGACTACTCCCCAGGCTGCCTCTTGCATATTATCATTAACCCTCTTTAAAACGATTTTCAGAAGCAGCAATGGTACTAGGCACTGTGGTTAAGAGGGTCATGGTTGGTCAGTTTCAGGCACAATAGCAGTTAGTTCTGAAGTTCAAAAGGGAAAAAAAAATCAAAGACAACATATTCATTTAACTTAAGCCGTACATAGAAAAAAATGTAAGTCAAAAGTAAATGGTTGGGTTCAATGTGGAGTAGAGAAGGGGGCTGGAGGTTTGTATTTTTGTTTGTGCTTTAACCCTGCTCCTTCCCCTTCCCCCAACCTCCCAAGTGGGTACTTCAAAGAGCTCTGAGCCGTGTCCAGGGCTTAGACTCAAGATGAAAGGGCTCGTTGTCAGGGTTTGCTGGAGATCTGCAGATTAGTCTGGTTTTTCCTACTGCTGGTTTGATTGCACGTCCTTGTTAGTCTCTAGGCATATTATTTAAATAGAGATTGAAAAAAGGAGGGTTAGGGAAAACAATAACACCTCTCCAAAGTCATAGTCTTATATATAAACAAGGTTTTTTTCCTTTTCAAGGAGGGAAAACCACAAAGAAAATAATATACATGTTCATAATATTGTTTCAGAAGAGAGGCATGAGGTGAGGTGGCTAGAGACCGAGAGTTGGAGTGTGGATAGCCAGGATTCACATCCTACCTCTGATACACACCAGCTGCTTGACTTTCCGAACACTTATCTAAAATGAAAATTTTCAGATAAACTATCCAATTTACAGCCCTGTTTCAACTCTCATATAGACATTTATGCATGATATTAGATACATAGGAATAAATTCTCTCATGTAGACATGTTTATGTGCATTTGTACATGTTATATGTATGTACACATACTACACATAATGCAGATTCTGTACAGAACATTTAGAAACTTTTTTTTTCCTTTAGGAATTCACTTGGATCTCTGCTTTCACTGGGGAAAAGATCTGCTAGGTTGAAACAGGGCTGATCAGTCCAATGTGAGCTCAGAAGGCTCCACCACAGGTTGGGCACAAATAGAATGTTTGGATATTTGGGATGGAGATTTCTCTAGATTTGTGCATCTCACATTGGCTTTGTGCTACCGTGACTGTGCTTTCTTCATAGAGCACAGTGCCTTCTTTGAGATCTTATTATTATAGGGAGCACACAGAAGAGTGGAAAGTCAGTGAAGATCAGAGCAATTCTGCATTTTAAAGTATCCAAGAGTTGCCTAGAGTCTTGGAGATGTAACTTGCCCAAGATTACACAGCCGGATAAGAGGCAAAGGCAGGTATTGAACCCAATTATTCAAGGCCAGTTCTATCTACTCTCATAATGCCATGTATGTATATATGTAGTTATGTATACACAAATAAATATGTATTTATTATAGTTACCTACATATGCACATCCATGAATGCATCTTATCCTGTTAGATTGTAAACTCTATGAGTGAAGGGGTCATGTTTTATCTGAATTTTGTATTTTTGCCATGCCTAACATAATCTGTCCAATTGAATTGCTGAATTATAATACGTTGTGGTGGTGATGATATCAATGATGCTGATGATGATTATGATGATGAAGATGATGAAGATACCATCTGACATACATTTATCACTTGAACATCTACAGAAGTATTTTTATCATAACAACCTTGCAAGGTAGATTTTTTTTTTGATGTTCAGTCATTTCAGTCATGCCTGATTCTCTGTAACCCTGTTTGGGATTTTCCTGGCAAAGGTACTAGCGTGGTTTGCCATTTCCTTCTCAGCTGATTTTGCAGATAAGGAAACTCAGGCAAACAGGGTTAAGGGACTTGTCCAGGAGTCACACAGCTGTTGGAACTCATGTGGATGAATCTTCTTGACCCCAGGCCCAGCACTCTAACCACTGCCTCATCTAGCAGCCGCACCAGGTAGATTGTACAAGTATTATTATCTCCTCTATTACAGATGAGGAAACCAAATCCCTAAGACTTAAGTGTTATGACTTGTGTGTTTATGGTTACACATCTAGTAAACATCTGAATCAGAATTCACAGCTGGGTCTCCTAATTCCATGTTCAGTATCCAACTACCCCTTAATGTCTGCTTTAAAAAATACCATAAAACATGCAAAGGAAGCAGCCCACAATAAAAACAGAGTTAAGGTATTAATTGGGCATAGGCAGAAAGTTTGTGCATGTCTTTTCTTTTCCTATTAATTTCCTTGAGCTGGCTCTGATCCTGAGTGAATTTAATATAAGCTCTTTTAAAAGTCACATTCCCTTAGGACCATTTTGCCCCCAAGAAGAAACCAGATTTCTGCACCAAGGAACTTCAATAACATTACAAGTGTGTTTTATGTGGACATGTAATTGACAGGCTAATAAGGAAAAAAAACAAACAAAACTTAATTAGAACATTAATTCAAAACAAATTATAATTAACCAAATGAAATACTAATACATATACTAAATAACACACACATATGTAATACAGGTATTACATAAATATATGTTATATATCATATATTGTGACATAATATGATATAATATATAACACATCACAAAATCATTATATTAATATACTATATTATATATTATAGGATAACATTATCTGATAATATTATATTATCATATTATATAGATAAATAGATCGTATTAGATGTCATGTTACATATGTTATATATCATATAAAAATGTTGTGTATCATGTTTTATATGTTATATATGTATTTTATATATATGTATATAATACAATAATAAAACAATATAAACTCATGCCATACTGACAGCTTTCTATATACTCTAAATCCCATCTCTCCATTCTTGTGCTAATCCTTAAATTCCATTCTACTAAATCAAGAATTTGTGTTCTCCTAATTTAACATTACAACTCTCTCAACAGTCACACAAAAACTTGCTGCACATCTCTTTTAGTAGGGTCCCAACAACATTGTGATTGCTTACCTACTATCTCACCCAATTCCAGGTGCTGGACTGTATTTAACTGAGCTTGGTGTATAATTGAACACTGAGAATGTTTTATCTCAGTAGTTAACATTCCTA